AAATCAAAGGAGGTTGCTGGGTTTGTGGAAAGACAGGTCATAGGCAAACGACTGCCGCCATAAGAAGGATCAGAATTCTGGGAGTTCTAATCAAGCAAATATTACAGAAGACACGTTTGTTGCTGTTGTCTCTGAAGTCAATTTATTGACTAATTCTAATGACTGGTGGGTTGATATAGGAGCAACAAGGCATGTGTGTGCCGATTGGAATTTATTTGTTACTTACCAATCTGTTGATGGTGGAGAAAATCTGTACATGGGAAATGCAACTGCATCTACCGTTGTCGGGAAAGGAAAAGTGACGCTCAAACTCACTTCCGAAAAAGAGCTTTCATTCACCAATGTTTTGCATGATCCTGATATTCGCAAGAACCTGATTTCTGGATCGTTTCTGAGTAACAAAGGTTTCAAAATTGTGTTTGAATTTGACAAGTTTGTAATCACCAAGGGTGGGGTGTATGTGGGAAAGGGCTACCTAGCTGAGGGGCTCTTCAAACTGAATTTACTTTCTGCTAATGCTATTAATAATAATAATAACAAGCCTAGTGCTTCTTCTGCTTACTTGATTGAGTCCTCTACATTATGACATGCAAGATTAGGTCATGTTAATTTTCGTTCTTTTCAGAGAATGGTTAACTTAGGCCTATTGCCCAAATGTTCCACGAACAAAGTATCTAAATGTGAGATATGCACAGAATCTAAATATGCAAGACACTCATATAAATCAGTGGAAAAATCCAACGAAATACTTGGTTTAATCCATAGTGATCTTTGTGATTTCAAATCCATACCAACTCGTCGAGGAAAGAACTACTATATTTCTTTCATTGATGATTGCAGCAAGTATTGTTATGTCTATTTGATTCATAGTAAAGCTGAAGCTTTAAACATGTTTAAGACATTTAAAGCCGAAGTCGAAAATCAACTAGACAAAAGAATAAAAGTCTTAAGATCAGATATCGGTGGTGAATACGAATCTAATGACTTTGCAGAATTTTGTTCGACACATGGAATAATACATCAAACAATAGCACCATATACTTCTCAACAAAATGGAGTGGCTGAACGGAAAAATCGTACATTGAAGGATATGATTAATTCCATGTTTAACAGTTCTGGTGCACCACATAATTTATGGGGTGAGGCATTCCTTGCTGCAAACACGATTTTGAATCAAATTCCACATAAGAACACTAATCAATCTCCTTATGAAATCTGGAAAGGTAGGTTACCTACATATAAAACCTTGAAAGTGTGGGGTTGTCTTGCAAAAGTCCAAGTGCCTCTTCCGAAAAGACAAAAACTTGGACCAAAAACAGTGGATTGTATATTTATTGGTCATGCCAATAATAGTTCGGCATATAGATTTTTGGTTCATAAATCTGAAATTACAGACATTCATGTAAATACTATACTTGAATCTATAGAAGTTGAGTTCTTTGAGGAAATTTTTCCTTATAAAGATAGGTCATATGTTTTGAACAAAAGAGTACATGAGGTTACTACAAGAAATGATGACGATAATCATGCTTCAACTTCTAGAGTTCAAAGCCAAGATTTGGAACCACGGAATAGTAAAAGAGCAAAAATTGCAAAGGATTTTGGTCCTGATTTCCTCACTTTTGTAACCGAAGAAGAGCCTCAAACTTATAAGGCTGCATTAGAATCATCTGAAGCACCTTATTGGAAAGAAGCTATTCAAAGTGAAATAGAATCCATCATGCAAAATAATACATGGGAATTGGTTAATTTGCCTCCTGGAAATAAACCAATAGGACATAAATGGATTTTCAAGAGGAAATTGAGACCGGATGGTACCATAGACAAGCATAAGGCTCGTTTAGTTGCCAAAGGGTATCGTCAAAAAGAAGGACTTGACTACTTTGACACTTATTCACAATAGCTAGAATAACATCTATAAGGTTATTAATAGCTATAGCGTCTGTGTACAATCTCGAGATACATCAAATGGATGTCAAGACTGCATTTCTAAATGGTGAATTAGACGAAGAAATATATATGGAACAACCTAAAGGTTCCATTGTCAAAGGTCAAGAAAAGAAAGTTTGCAAGTTGATTAAGTCATTATATGGACTCAAACAAGCGCCTAAGCAATGGCATGAAAAATTCGATCATAATATGATTACGAATGGATTTGTAATCAAGGAAAGTGATAAATGCATTTATGTTAAGAAAACGAAAAATGCTTGTGTTATTGTATGTCTATAAGTTGATGACATGCTTATAATGGGAACAAACAAAGATGTGATTAACTCCACAAAGAAAATGCTAAATTCTAGCTTTGATATGAAAGATAAGAGTTTGAATTGTAAGGAATTCAGATGGATACGTCCTAACTCAATCACATTATGTTGAAAAGGTTCTAAAAATGTTTGGACATTATGATTGTAAACCTGCAGTAACTCATTTTGATCCCATTCATAAACTTACTAAAAATGAAGAAGATAGCGTATCTCAATTGGAGTATACCCAAGTTATAGGTTGCTTGATGTACATTATGAATTGTACAAGACCTCATCTTGCTTATTCAATAAGCCGACTAAGTAGGTATTCAAGTAATCTTGGAAGAGATCATTGGAATGCTTTAATAAGGGTATTAAGATACTTAAAGCATATAATGAACTATGGTTTGCATTACACTCAATATCCCCCAGTATTAGAAGGATATAGTGATGCAAATTGGATTTCAGGGAGCACAGATAGTAAATCCACATGTGTATGTATTTACACTTGGTGGAGCAGCCGTGTCATGGAAATCATCCAAGCAAACATGTATTTCACGTTCGACAATGGAATCAGAGTTTATAGCCTTAGATACAGCTACTGATGAATCTGAATGGCTTACACATTTTCTGGAAGATATTCCATTATGGCCCAAGCTTGTGACTGCAATATGTATACATTGTGACAGCATGGCTGCACAAGGTTGAGCCAAAAATGCTGAATATAATGGGAAGTCGAGATATATAAGGCGATGACATAAGACCATTAGACAGCTACTCAAGAATGGAACTATTTCCATTGATTATATTAAACCTAAGGAGAATATTGTCGATCCTTTGACAAAAGGCCTATCCAAGTATCAAGTGGCATTTACATTAAGGGGAATAGGTTTAAAGCCAACTCAATGAGTTATAACTTGACGGAAACCTAACCTAGCTAATTGGAGATCCCATGGTCTAGGTTCAATAGGAAAACTATTTAAGGAAAACTCAAAGTAAAAGACACATAATCTTTACTCATTCTTATGATGGAAAACAATGTGTTGCCTGTAAGACGAAAAGGGTGAATAGCTATTCTTAATAATGCTAATATCTTATGGTTAAGATGAATAGAATATGATATTCTTTATTAGCATTACCTATATGAGATTGATGTGGGGTCGCATCTTTGAAAATTGGTATGGCTACAATTCTCTACAAGTCTCATGAAGTCAGAATATGTTCAGGACCAAAATGAACACAACCGTATGAATTGAAGTGTGTCAAGAAGTGATATGTGTGATACTTATTGTTTCAATTTTCCTACTAAGAATGATCAGTTCAAGATAGTAAATTCACTGCTTCATTAGGTAAATCCGATAAGTACTCACTAGAGAAGGTTCAAGTCCAAAAGACACCTATCCCAATGCGTATTATATCTAAGTTCTTTGGAAAGACGTTACTAATTTCGCTAGTATCTTATTTTTTATTCAAATGTGGGGTATTGCTAGAGTTTGAAAAGAAAATGTGGGGTATTGTTGGAACTTGTGTTTATGTGGAACTCCCAGTCCCACATCGCCCAAACATGTTTAGAACTTCATCTTTATAAGTGAGTTCACTCACTTATAGTTTGAAATGAATTGGGCCAAAGCCATGGACCTTGGGCCTTAGAATTGGAGGGTTTGGTTGCATATATTAAATGTCAAAATTGGGCCTTGGGCCTTAGGGCTCTTGGGCTCAGATGGACGAAAAACCCAAGTATCATTTTTACGTTTTTGATTTTTGCATTCAGTTTTTTCCGAAAGGATAAAACTGATCACATGAACGGTTACAACCATTTTTAAAGATAAATATGAACGGTCAACTGCTCATTTACGCCATTATATATATGGCCGTCAGATTAGAAACAAACACAACAATTCCATCGAATCCTTCATACTTCACAAAGAAACACCACAACCAATTCGCCAAGAATCCAAGTTCGAGTGCAAGAACTTGGATTAGATAGTTGTTTCCTGCAAGATAGACGTCCATTGAACTGCTGCACTGGTGTAGGGATGAATTTCTGTCTTAGGAGATTGCTTCTGCAAGTCTCTATCTTCAAGGAACAAGTCAGTGATTTGTGATTTTATAAACAATTTCATTAAGTGTTTATATTTTGATATGTTGTATTTGTTGTTGAGTTTTTCATTTGAAATAAAGCTGTGTAAATTGTTATATATTATACACTTGACATTTGATTGGTTCTAATAGTTAGCCGTTCTTAGCAAGAGCCATCGATTTCGAGCGGACTCCTAGTCCCATCTTCTCTCGCAGCTGATCCATCCGTCTTCTTCTCCTTTGCACCTTCGCCATCTCCCTTCTCCTTCACGACTTTACGCCGTCTCCCTTGGGCTCTCACCTTCACCATCCTACCCAAAAGCTAAACCCAGAGCCCGAACAAAAACTGATAAAGAGTCCACCGACTCCCTCCGGTGGACACGGCCATGGTTATTGCTTCAACCGCAGCTCTCGCTCCTTCCTGGTTCACGCCCAAGAGGTGATTCGTTTTCTTACACTTTTGTGTTAATTTTTTTTTTTGTTCTGTTCTGGGGTCTGTTTGGTTGGTGAGAAAATATGGAATTCAAGAGAGTTTTGGCCTTTTTGTATTTTTTAGGGTTTTTGATTGTTTTTGTTACTTGGGTCTGGGAAATACACGGTATTTCCATGTGGGCTTCAGAGATTTTGGTGATTTCTTAGTTTTTCTCTATTTTTCCGGCAACCAACCCGGAAATTCGGTTTTTCTCCATTGTGGGCACTAATCTTCTTTATGTGAAAGTTTATGGATGGAAAGGGAAAATAGTGAGAATTGTTGGATGATTAATTAGTTAAACTATTTTGAAATTGAAAGGAGGAGATGATGTATCATGTAAATGAATGCTCTAGAGTTAAGAATATATTTATAAGTTTGAGCTTTCAACTGGGTTGAGTCAAGTATCATTTGAAGGTTTTGCAAGACATTTGAGTCACTTTTAGTATCTCATTGTGCAATATAAACATCTTTACGCTGCGATTGCAGGTTACTTGTTATCTTTTGCTTGATTAACTTGATACATTATGTGGACCGAGGAACAATAGCAAGTAATGGTGTCAATGGGAGCCTCGAAACTTGTACAGACAGTGATATATGCACGGCTGGTACTGGGATTCAGTAAGATACTAAGAACCATTTGATGGTTTCCTTGTTTCTCTGGCATTTCGTATTTGTTTGTGGTCAGGAATTACATGATTCCATTTATTTGAATGTGCCGAGTTTGCAGGTTTTCGCATATAATCATGTTCTAGATGCTATGGTACATAAACATTATTGAGATTTCTGAAATAAACAAATGTTCATCCGTATCAATTTGTTATGGATATAAAAGTTTCACTTGATTTCTAAGAGCACCATATTTGAGCTGTTGCCAAATTTATTCTTTGATTAATATACTTAGCTATGGTGTGTGAAACATATCCACCAACTACAGTCTGCAGCAGTGTTGAGACTTTAAGAACAACTCCATCCCTAAAGACTTTGCGCCAGCACCCAGCCCATTTATCCACTTCAGTGAACAGTAATAGACCCTAATGAACAGTAATAGGCCAAAGCATCTCCACCCCAAAAAAAATGTGTTGGCACCCAGTCTAAAAATGCATTGGCATAAACGATCTCCACCCCTACAAAATGCACTGGCACCCAGTCCATTTAAAATATTAAATAATTTTTTTATAAAATAATAAATAAATAAAATAGTTTTAATTTCGGATAGGATTTTTAACCAATCTCGTCACACCACGTGTCATTATCTGAACGTACTATTTTGTGAATAGATTTCCGCTAAGATTTTCAACCAATCCCGACAGCCCACGTGTCACTTCCTGTTTACAATAATTTAGGCAAGATTTCGATAAGATTTTTAACCAATCTTGTCACGCCACGTGTTATTATCCGAACGTACTATTTTGTAGATAGATTTCTGATAAGATTTTCAACCAATCCCGACACGCCACGTGTCACTTCCTGTTTACAATAATTTAGCCAAGATTTCAATAAGATTTTCAACCAATCACGTAGTGTCACGTGGCATTGTCTAGAACCTCATCTTCTCTTTTTTTTTTTATCCATATAAACCCTACATCCCTACATCCATCCTCACACTAAACTCAATCCTTTTTTTTAGCTCAGAATTCTTCTTTATCGTTTTCAAATCTTGAGTTCTTACAATGTCTTCTTCAATGAGAGCGTATAAACAGTTGCAAGAGCAGCAGAAAAGGTTGTTGGCACAACAGGAAAAATTGGTCAATCTTGACCAAGGTGGAGGTAGAGATGAGGCATTCGCAATGGAGGAGGATAAGGATGATCACCATAAAAGGCGGAGGGCCTCACATTCCCGCCGTATCATGGAAGCTATGGGTCAGATAGCCAAACCCAGACGTGCGGCAAACATGGATAGAAGAAGGGAAAGACGAGGTAAAGATCTCTTGAAAGATTATTTTATTCCCAACAGCGTTTTCCCTGATCATGTTTTAGACGTCGTTTTAGAATGCAACGAAGTTTGTTCGATAAAATCATGAGTGATGTTTGCAACCATGATCCATATTTTGTGCAAAAAAAGGATGCTTTTCATGTTCTAGGTCTTCTTCCTGAGCAAAAAATTACGGCTGCCTTGCGAATGCTTGCATATGGAGCATCTGCATATCAAGTGGATGATATCGCATGGATGGGAAAAACAACAGTTCTGGAGTCCCTGATGCGGTTTTGCTCTGCAATTGAAGCCCTCTACACTAATATGTACCTTCAACAACCCACACCAAGGGACATGCGAAGGCTTCTGAGGAAGGGTGAGATGCGAGGCTTCCCTGGCATGATTGGAAACATTGACTGCATGCATTGGACATGGAAAAACTGTCCAAGTGCATGGCAAGAAGCTTATGGCGACAGAAAATGAGCCAAAAGCATCATTTTGGAAGTGGTGGCTTCTTTTGATACATGAATTTGGCATGCTTTTTTTGGTGTTCCAGGAGCTCAGAATGACCTAAATGTCCTTGCCCAATCTCCAGTGTTTGACGAACTGCCACAAGGAAATGGGCCGAGATGCACATATTGGGTTAATGGTAATAAATACGAGGGACCATACTACCTTGCAGATGGTATTTACCCAAGGTGGTCAACATTTGTCAAAACAGTGCCACATCCGCAGAGTGAAAAAGAGAAACACTTCGCAAAGTGTCAAGAAGGGTGTAGGAAGGATGTCGAGCGTTGTTTTGGTATCTTGCAAGCTCGTTGGGCCATTATCAGGGCTGCAGCTAGAATGTTTGATGTCGAGACTCTTCGATCCATCATGATGATGTGTATTATTCTCCACAACATGATTGTTGAAGACGAGTATGATTATGATGTCGTCGATGAATACAAGTCGGATCCGATGAACAACTCAAGAACACAAATCTACTATGCTCATGACCGGACAGAAGATCCCGTGCAACACGAGCCGTTGGAATGAGATGGACGTTACAATGAATTGATCGTTTAGCGGTACACTTCATTGCAAGAGCCATACTGGCACATAACCCGCTAGAATGACTTGATTGACCATCAGTGGAGATTGCACGAAGGTGAAGATAATTAAAATAAGGCTTGTGGTTGAAGAATAAAGTGTATTGTTTTTTAAGTAATCTTATTTAGTGTGTGTGTTTTTTTTTTAAGTTTAAATGGTGATGTTATGTAATTTTATTTGGTGTTTTTTTTTTAAATGTTTATTTGGTGAGTTTATGTAATCTTATTCAAATATTTAAATAAAGTACAAAAATTACATAAGAAATTAAATAAAGTTCTAAAAATAAATAAGAAATTACATAAGAAATTAAATAAAGTTCTAAAAATAAATAAGAAATTACATAAGAAATTAAATAAAGTAGTACAAATAAATGCGAAATTATACAAAATCTGTGGAGTTAGGATATGTGGTGCTAGGATCTTGGTTGCTAGGATTTCTGTAGCTGGAACCCCCTTGACTTGTTTCGGCATCTCTTGCACGCCTCCTTCGCACGACATCTCTTTTTTCTGATGTCCAAAAATATTTTGAATTCGGAGACAGTCCTATTAGAGACTTGTTCATAGTGTCACGATCTGTTTGAGCCATCCTTTCTTCTCTAAGCATCTCATTCTCTCGATGAAGTGCTTCTCAAATCATCTCGTTCTCTCGATTAACTATTTCTCTTTATCTCTCAGCCGCCGCATCACGAGCCTCAGTAGCTGCTATTATTGCTGCCATAGCAGTAGCTTTTTCCTCATCTCTAGCCTTTTCCCATGCCATGTTCAATTCACCTTGACGAGTAAGTTCCTCCATATATTTAGTGTAGTCATTTTTGGAAGAACTACCTTTTTTCTTTGATGCCTTTTTACCTTGAGGCCTGAGGGACTGACGAATCGGTTGGGTCTCTGGCACTTCTTCAGGCGTCCCTTCCGTGTCTTCAAATGTGTTGGCTTCTTGTTTGGCTGTGTCTGCTTCTGGCGAACTGTGTAGACCCATACCGTGCATGACAACTTCTGGACCGGTTGCCACAATTTTGTATCTAGGGCAATCTTTGACTATTTGCCAACATTCTCATTTGTTGAATGATTTGTTACGGTTCTTTGCATTGTAGAATGCTTGTGCTTGTAGTGTCTATAAAAATGTGGGATAAGATAGTATTAAAAAATATGGGTGTAACACAAATAAATAAATTAAAATATTGATGGGCGTGGAATGCATATAAATTAAATAAGAAATTAAATAAATTAAAATATTGATCTGGGTGTAACACAAATAAATAAATTAAAATATTGATGGGCGTGGAATGCATATTACATAGAAATTACATAAGAAATTAAATAAATTAAAATATTGATGTGGGTGGAATGCATATAAATAAATAAAAATATTGTTACCTCATCCACTAAACTTGTCCCACTACGCAGATTACCAGAAGCATGAGAGATGACGTTTTTCCAACAAGTAAAGGACGCGTTGAGTTTTTTCCAACGACCTTGAAGACCTTGACTAGATCTGGCATCTTTTCCATGTACATCGCAAAACGATTTCGTAATTTTACTCTACATTTCTCGCTTATCCATCTCATTACCTGTAATTGGGTCATGAGTAGTGCGAACCCAACATTCACACAGCGTAACATCTTCAATGAGCTTCCATGAAGTCATTTTTTTCTCTCAAAGTGTACAAAATATTCAAATGTAGAAAGTGTAGAAAGTGTAGAAAATATTGAAATGTGATGTAAGGTGGAAGATGAGGGTTTGGTATTTATAGAAAAAAAAAATTAATTTTTTAAAATTTTTCTGTATTTTTAAAAAAAAATTCACAATTTTTAATAAATTTTAATGTTGTAATTAATCTGGACCGTTGGATTTGAAAAATAATCAAATCCAAGAGCCAACCAGCTGCCACGTGGCCAACGGTCAAACTTCTGACCGTTGGGCCTTTTTTTTTATATTTTTTTTGGTGAAAAAAACGTGGACCGTTGATCTGTGATCGGACTATCCATTTTAAAAGTCAAATTTAAATTTTTTTTACAGTTGGAAATCCAACGACTTTGAGGAAGGCCACGTAGCCCTCAGCTGTTCAAAGGCAAGTTGGCCTGAACGTGGGCCCCACCGCCTGCAACACTGTCGCCTACTCGCACCCAGTCGCTAGTGTTGTGCACGTGCCAGCCTTTTGGACCGACTTCTGGGTCTGTCCGAAATGGGCTGGCCTGCTGCCTGGCTTGGGCTGGGTGCCAGGCTGTTTTGCGGGCTAGAGGTTTTGGACAGGGTGCCTGGCTGTTTTTTGGACTTGGTGCTAGGCAAGTCCACCTCCGGTGGAACTGCTCTAAGGTTGAGGCAGTTAGGGGATTATTTGCATTTTATCCATTTTTAACCAATTTCTGTTCTGTTTACTACACGATGTTTACAACATGCAGTCTTTTGATCTGAGTATCTGACATCATGGTTAATCTTTCTCAGTCTGAGCTTCCACCTGGGGTGGAGTCTGCTCTACTGCAACAAGTTTTGAGCCTAACACAGGAAAAATTGAGTTCATTGTCTCCGGAATGTCAACAACAAGTAATAAAGCTCCAATAGATGCTTCGGTGAGATCAGATTCAGCCATCGTAGCAGAGTCATAAATGGCAGTTTTGATGCAGTAAGTTGTTACATGTGCAGGCACCAACTTGCTTGCTAGAGCAACAAAAGGCGTGATATTGATTCAATCGATTTTGATTGTTTGTAACAGTATGTTCATGTGAGGAGTTGATTTAGAGGATCTGTAGTGCAAGAGTACTATCGTATTCGTGTAGCCTACACAAGCTTGTGTTTTAGTCTAGTCAATAAATTAGTTAGAATAACAAAATTTTGTCTGTATCACAACATTTAAATTTACATTCCCTCAGCTAAAATTTGTTGCTTCACTTTTGAAAACGTTGTGTACTTTGCTCGAGGTATATTCATGATCTCTTCCTTTTGCATATTGTTATTGGTCTTCTTCAAACTAGTTGGAGCAAGCAATTTACGTGCTCAAATCCAAGTGTAGCAATGATCAAGGCTCGGCTATCCATTTGCCAATGCGCCTCACGCATCATTGTGGTCTTGGGATTGAATGCAATCAAATCAAAGGTGAATAATTAAGAAAAGCATTCTAAACCCCGTCAATTGTCAGGAAAACACATATTGATGTTTGGAGCAATACTACTCTTGAATCATGTATGTTTCTTTTGTTGGCAAAAAATTTGATTTTTGTATTTTTTTATTGAGTCATACTCTCATCTAATATTATTAATGTTGATAATATCTTTAAATAAAGAGAAATTAAAATAGAACAATAATTTAGTCCGACATTGTACCTAACGCTTCACTAAGTTAGTCCTACTTAGTCTAGTCTAAGCCAGTCTAGCTTAGTCACTGAAGCTAGTCCAGTCCGAGATAGTCCGATGCAACAAACACACCCTTAGTGGCTCCGCCCATAGTTTGGAGTTTTATATACAAAAGGTCTTGGTGATATTATGGTGGTGAATCTCCCAAATATAAACTGTACAATATTTTGTTATATCTCCTATGTTTGGCTCTATTCTCCAAGAAATCATGATGTGTTAACCCAAATTGGAACCCACAAATAGCCTTAGTTAAAACAAGTGTGCAAACTTCATTTCTATTATATGTAACCCATTCATATATGACAAGGGATTCGAATTTGAAACCTGAGAAGTAGCACAAGACTTAAGATAGAGTTGGCACTGCGAATCAAATTCTTCAATATAATTACATAAGTAATTTAAATATCTTTTTGAATCAGATTCCACTTACCATTATGACCTAACACATGCACTTTGGAATATAAGAATATATGTCAAAGTCTCGTGATTTGTCAATGAATATAAGCCTATGGCATAGCTAGTATTCGGTGGTTTAGAAAACACACACAAACACACATTTTTGCCCGTCGTTCAGTCTTTATTCTAAATAAACTTTTTTGTGGGTTTTTTTTAATAGCACTTAAATACAACCTAACGCTAAGATTTATTATTAAATAGCATATTAACTCTAATATGAAATTACTATTTAAGCCCCATAAGGTTTCAATAATAAAACTAAGGGAGTTTCAACAAAACACTTCCGCTACTGTTCACTTTTAATAAAAAAAAAAAAACACATTTTTACCTTTCGCCGAATACTATTCACTATATCTTTATTTATCATTTTTCATTAAAACTAAAGTTTTTTTTGTTTTTTAACTTTTCATTAGTTTTCCTTAAAAATAAAAATTATGAATGCACCCCAAATCACGTTCAATGTGTATCCCACATTTAGTTTTTAAGCTCCCAAAAGCAATCCAACCGTCTATTCTAGAACAAAACTTTAATCAATAAAAGTTAAAAACACGTTAATGGGAAATTTTTATTTTTGATGAATGGAACATAGAATTGACGTTTTATAGACTTCACATGAGGTAAGACTTCATTTTTTTTTTTTTTTTTTTAGTAATTTCAATGACATCATTGTCAATTTAAGCAAGGATTGCTCATGCAAGTGGATTATAAAAAGAAGGGCCATGTCCAAGGACGTACAAATAGAGACAGGGAAAGCATAGAAATGGCACAACAAAAATAATAGCACCAGGTGAGTGCATGAAGTGAGAGGGACTTGAAGCAAAGCTTCAGTCCTGACCCCATTCTGAAAACCAAAGCCGGAGAGGAAGTATCGTCACCTTCTAATTTGAAATCAACAGACCAATATGGTATACACAAGGTCGACGGGGGGTGTAAAAGTGTGGAGTGTGAGAATACTATCGGTAATAATGTTTAAAATAAATTTTAATTTAAAAAATACATGCACAGTGTATTCAATATGAATAATGTATTCAACAATACCTATGATGTATATAAAAAACAAAGCTTTGTTGAAAAGTCTGATGGCAATGAATGCCCACACAGTATGTTAGCAAAAGTCTTCAGCATGGGCAGAAGTTTTCAATGCCCATGCAAAGTGAAAGTTGAATACATAGAGATTGTATAGTTAGACGAAGTGTCGTAAATTTCAAAATGCATTAACTGCATCAGTTTGGAGTTACTCTATAAATAGAGCACTCCGCATGTTTTTAAGTTACAAGAAAAGAAAAGAAGAAGTGAACAAGAGAAAAATATCAGTAACATCATCTATTTCTCTGCTTTTATTTGTTATCTGCCTGTGCTATAGTTTTAGTGTGGCATTTTACATCTACCTTGCACCTACCATTAAAAAGGTTATTCCTCTAACTTTGACCTTTTTATAACACGTTACCAGCACGAGTCTCTAAATATAATTATTCTCTCATCTCTCTTCACCGAACGAACGAAAGAAAGAAAAAGACTCTCAGCACATTTCATGCCTCCAACGTGCTCCTGCAGCAACAGTATAGAGCGCGAGGCTACATTGAGTACAACTAGCTGATATATGTGCTCTTAGTAGCTGAACAGAATAATGAGCTCTTGATGAACAACCATCATTCCCGACCTACTGGATCTGCACCATTCCCAGAAGTGAATGCTGCTTCCCTCGAAGTGAACGCCACATCCTCTGGTGGTGATAATCATAAACGAGGACGTAGCCACAAGCGAGGTCGATGGAATAGGAAAGGCAAGAACCATGGAGTTCAGTTTCATAACCAGGTTCCCAGGCATAATTCAGGCCCAAGCTTCAAAAATGCGAATCGCCACAAAGGCAAAGCTCATATGAACAATGCTCCTAGAAATTCTGAATGAGCCTGCCATAGGTGTGGTGGCAATGGGCATTGGGCGCGTACTTGTCGTACCCCAAAACATCTAGTGGATCTGTATCAAGCCTCCCTCAAGGAGAAGGGTGTCGAGATCAACTTTCTCGACCAGGCTAGACCAATGGATATATCTGATCCAGTGTTTGACTTATCAGGGCAGTTGAACACAACTCATCTAGATGTTCCAGACTTTATTATGGAAAGGGGAAATGAAGTATACCGGTCCGATTGAATCATTAATGTACTTTTATTATGCTGAACTTGTAGTATTTCAAATTCAATAAAAGTGGCATGTAAATTTTCTTGTTATAACTTGCTTTTAATTCTGATTCTCTTACTCAGAGAGCATGGATAAAAACTGTGGTTATTCTCAGAACATGAGAAATGACGGAGATATTTGTCTTGCAGACAGTGCAACCACACATACAATACTTCGTGATCGAAAGTATTTCTCAAGCTTAATACCTACAAGAGTAGGGGTAACAACAATATCAGGACCTTCAGATGTAATTCAAGGTTCAGGGTAAGCCCAGATTATGTTACCAAATGGAACAATATTGTCCATACAGAATGCATTGTATGCTACTCGATCTACTCGAAATTTGTTGAGTTTCAAAGACATACGTCTAAATGGATACCACATTGAAACAAAAAGTGCAGAAAATGTGGAGTATCTATGCATTACCTCCAATGATACCCAGACGCGTATATTGGAGAAGTTGCATGGTATGTCGAGTGGATTGTATTATACATACATAAGGACAATTAAATCACATATTGTCATGAACCAGAAGTTCATTGATTCAAAGGTTTACATGCTTTGGCATGACCGTCTGGGTCATCCAGGATCTACCATGATGCGTAGGATCATTACCAACTCTAATGGACATCCATTAGTGAGCCGACACATTGCTGCCTCAAATGATAACCATTGCAAAGCTTGTTCTCAAGGGAAGTTGGTAATTAGACCATCTCAACTAAAGGTTGATGCTGAATCCCCATCATTTCTGCACAGAATTCAAGGGGATATTTGTGGGCCTATTCAACCATCATGTGGACCATTTCGATATTTTATGGTTTTGGTTGATGCATCTACCCGATGGTCACATGTTTGTCTCTTGTCTACTCGGAATGTAGCATTTGCAAGACTTCTTGCTCAGATAATTAAGTTACGAGCACAGTTCCCATATTATCCCATTAAGTCAATCCGACTTGATAATGCTGGTGAATTTACGTCTCAAACCTTTGATGATTATTGCATGACATTAGGCATTGATGTTGAACACCCTGTTCCTCATGTCCATACTCAAAATGGTTTAGCAGAAGCATTGATCAAGCGGCTTCAGTTAATAGCTCGCACTCTGCTTATGAAAACCAAATTACCCGTCTCTGCATGGGGACATGCCATCTTACATGCTGCATCATTGGTTCGATTGAGACCTATAGCCAACCATCAATACTCTTCAGTACAACTCGTGTTTGGACATCAACCAAACATTTCCCATTTACGAGTTTTTGGTTGTGCTGTTTATGTGCCTATTGCACCACTGCAACGCAGTAAAATGGACGCAATTACGTTTCGTTACTTAATAAGTTTAGTGGTTTCAGAAGGACTTGACATGCGACTTATGGATGTCATCACTGCGTATCTATATGGAGAATTAGATACTGACATCTATATGAAAGTCCCAGAAGGACTTAAGTTGCCTGAAACAAGTAATAAACCACGAGGTATGCTCTCGATCAAATTAAGGTGATCATTGTATGGTTTGAAACAATCTGGACAAATGTGGTATAATCGTCTCAGTGAGTATTTGATCAAAGAATGGTATATCAACAATGTTATTTGTCCTTGTGTGTTCATTAAGAAATCCAATTCTGGATTCGCTATAGTGGCAGTATATGTTGATGATATGAATCTAGTTGGGACTTCTGAAGAGCTTAATAAAACTGCTGAATATCTGAAAAGCAAATTTGAAATGAAAGACCTTGGAAAAACAAAATATTGTCTCGGCCTGCAGATCGAGCATTGTGCTAATGGAATTTTGGTCCACCAATCAGCTTACATTGAAAAAATTCTGAAGCAATTTGGTATGGACAAGGCTTATCCACTAAGCACGCCATTGGTCGTTCGTTCTTTGGACATTAAGAAAGATCCATTCCGTCCAAAAGAAGATGATGAACTGGTCCTTGGTCCAGAAGTACCATATCTGAGTGCAATAGGTGCTTTGTTGTATTTAGCACAATGTACTAGACCAGATATAGCTTTTTCAGTTAACTTGTTAGCAAGGTATAGCTCTGCTCCAACAATCCGCCATTGGAAGGGTATCAAAGATGTATTGCGATACCTTCGTGAGACAACAGACATGGGTCTCTTCTACTCAAAGAACTCCACAGATGACCAGGTCCTTGTTGGATATGCAGATGCTGGCTTCCTCTCTGATCCGCATAAAGCCCGCTCACAAACTGGATCTGTGTTTAAGAATGGAGATACAGCAATCTCATGGCGCTCAACCAAGCAAACATTAGTTGCTACATCTTCAAATCATTCAGAAATACTTGCTTTACATGAAGCAAGTTGTGAATGTTCTTGGTTAAGATTAATGATCCATCATATCCGGAATTCATGTGGTCTAACTTCGAAGAAAGACAATCCAACTGTCATCCATGAAGATAATGCAGCATGTGTTGCCCAAATGAAGGAAGGATTCATCAAGGGCGATAAGACTAAACACATATCTCCAAAGTTTTTCAGTGCTCATGAGCTTCAGAAGGCTAAAGTTATTGAAGTCAGACAAATCCGTTCAAATGAAAATCTGGCAGACTTGTTCACCAAATCTCTACCAAAGTGCACATTTCAGAAGTTAGTGCAAGGCATCGGATTACGTCGACTTACCAAACAGCTAAATTTGGAGAATGCGGAATCAGGGGAGATACATATCAGGGGGAGTATCCATGATACATGCTTGTTGTACTCTTTTTCCTTCGATTAGGATTTTTCCTATTAAGGTTTTAACGAGGCAACATAAGCATACTTGACACTATATCAACGATCCAGGAAAGTTGTACTCTTTTTCCTTCGCTATGGTTTTTTCTCACTGGGTTTTTCCAAGCAAGGTTTTAACGAGGCAACTCATGTTGATATGTGGGCATCCAAGGGGGAGTGTTGAAAAGTCTGATGGCAATGAATGCCCACACAGTATGTTAGCAAAAGTCTTCAGCATGGGCAGAAGTTTTCAATGCCCATGCAAAGTGAAAGTTGAATACATAGAGATTGTATAGTCAGACGAAGTGTCGTAAATTTCAAAATGCATTAACTGCATCAGTTTGAAGTTACTCTATAAATAGAGCACTCCGCATGTTTTTAAGTTACAAGAAAAGAAAAGAAGTGAACGAGAGAAAAATATCAGTAACATCATCTATTTCTCTGCTTTTATTTGTTATCTGCCTGTGCTATAGTTTTAGTGTGGTATTTTACATCTACCTTGCACCTACCATTAAAAAGGTTATTCCTCTAACTTTGACCTTTTTATAACAAACTTAGATTTTTTTTATTTTATATTTTTGTCACAACAAGCATAGCAACCTAAAACGAAAAGAAAAAGCTAAGAACATTATCTCAACAATGACGCCTCTCCTAATCAAAATGCCTCCAAATGACGTTGGATATATTCTTGTACAATGACTAACAAATAAGGCATCTCTATCAAGCACATGACATATGATATCGACATTTCTTCAAAGAAAAAGAGGCATTTAAAAAAAAAAAAAAAAAAAAAGAAAAAGAGGCAATTGTTGGCAAATCACAATTTATCATTATTTTCGAATCTGGGCAGGCTCACTAGCTTAAAGTATCAAACCTAAGACCTTTCATATTTCTTTTATTAGGGAGTCATAATCCGTGCCTTTACCATTACCCCACTTCTTGTTGTAAGGGAAAAAAAAAAAAAAAAAGAAGAATTGACGTGAATGCTTATTTTGAAAATTCATTTAGGCTATCTCCAATCGAAGGCTGACTAGACAGCTCGTTTTAGCCCTCTGATCTTTCAAGAAATTAATATTTTAATGAACAGTCCAAGGTCATATTCCTTACCATCTCCAATCGAGGGCCAAAGGACTAGAGGGCTTGTTTTAGCTCTGTCACAAAAAACCGTCTTCAACCGAGAGCCAAAGGGTTATAGTATTAAATGTGAAGAATTGAAATAAAATAAAGTAAGATAGTATGATATAGTGAAAAATATGTGAAATATGTGAAAAACTATGTGAAATATATGAAATGTTAGGTCATAACGACAAAATATGTGAAAAACTAAGCCCTAAACCCTAACACTATGTTTGGATGAGAGAAATAAATTTGGAATTTTGATAAAAGTCAGAATTTATAAATTGATATGCATTAATTTCCTTGTTTGGATTCATAAACATAGAAATTTAGAATTTCCGCGTGGAAAAAAAATTTGGAATTTGGGATCTCCAATTCCCAAGTTCAAATTATATGTAAATATGTGTCATTTCTTAATTTCTATGATTGAGAGTTTAAAAATAACAAATTTCATATTCAATTCCATTGTTCTTTTAGGTTAACCAAATAAAAAATTTACAAATTCTAGAAAATAAAATCTCATCATTTCAATTTCCATCATTTTAAAATTCCTTAATAATCTTAAATTTCTTCATTCAACCAAACATAGGTGGGCTGTGCAATGGAAAAGAACAAAAACAAAACTTGAAATTGGGCTAGATAGCGGGCTGGTTGAAAATGGTCAGTCGATTGATCCTTTGGCCCTTTCAGATTCCCACGAACCTCTGGCCTAACCCTCAGTTGAAGACGTTTTTCAACCTCCTGGTTCTCTTAACTCTTCGGTTGAAAATAACCTTAATACGTGATTCTTTGACCCTATAAATTCTTAAATTTTAGTCGAATTAGAGCTTTTCAACGCCGCGTAAACATAGATTACACGTTTGCCCATATGACAAGTACTTCATTTCAAACTTGCGGTTAAAACGAGAAAATTAAAATTTCATCGATCATTTTGAAATTATCCCAACCGGAATAATTTCAATTTGTAAAATGTGGTTAACGAAACTTACAAAACTAACGCCCATCCTCTCCTCTTCCTTCTCAACTCAACCATTCACAAGAAAAGCTCTCTTCGTTTCTGCCGACTCTGCTTCCATCCGGCTTCGACCTCTCTCTCAAATCTTCCCCGAAATGGACGCGGACAAAAGTCAATCCAAATCGATCAGCGAAGCCTCCGATCGGCCCACGGACCACCGCTTCCAAAACGTCGTCGTCATGCGCCACGGCGACCGCATCGACAACTTCGAGCCCCTCTGGACATCGCAATCGCCGAGGCCGTGGGACCCGCCTCTGGTCGAAGAGGGCAAGGTCCGGGCCTTCTGCACCGGTACCAAGCTCCGATCGGGTCTCGGGTTTCCAATCCACCGCGTCTTCGTCTCGCCATTCGTGCGATGCGTCGAGACCGCCGTCCAAGTCGTCACCGCCCTCTCCGCCACCGAAGACCCTTCTCTCTCCAAATACGAGAGCGACCAGCCCGTCCCCGTCGACCCCTCTAAGCTCAAGGTGGGTCCCACCATTTAAACGCATTCATTTACTTATGTTGATATTTTAGTACTAATGTTGGAACTTTGTGATTGTGATTGCGTCGTATATTGGTGAGAACAACATGTACATGTATTGGAAAAGGATCGGCGATATTTTTTTCTAAGGATTTCGTGACGTAATCGTTCATCGTACATCGTGCGGTCAATTTTCGTTAATTTTTGTTAACTTTTTATATTTAATTTTAAATTTTAAAATGATTTCTGACCGTATGATATACGATGAACGGTCAAGATCATGAGATGATCATTTTTCACATGTATTAATGTTGATATTATATATATATATGTGTGTATGTATATGTATAATATGTATGTATGCAGATCCCTTTATCTAAATAATTTCTAATTTTGTGTAAAAATAGAGAGTAGTTATAGGGCTTACTTCACATCAAATTTCAACAATCTCGTTTATTTTGTAAGTCTTGATTTATAGACCATGCTTGCAAAAATTCAGTTTAATCCAAAATTATTTGTCTATTTAATTATCACAATTAAATTTTATTGTTTCTTGTAGAACTAAAGTGTTCGTCAATTTTTTTGAACTCAATTAAATATTTCAAATATTTCTGATTTGGCATATTTTGCAAGGATTATCTATGAGGTCCAACTTGAAAAATAAAAGGTTCGAATCGTTTAAAAAAAAAAAAATAGAGATCCCTTCCCTGCCTCCTATATGTATCTATGTTATATTGTCGTTGTCACAGTATATGTAATTGACAAACAAGGTAGATATTTGATATGTTAAATTATCGTTGTAAACAAAATTGCACAATTAGAAGTTATGATTTACGGTCTGATAATATAACGTTCTACGTATCGGGGCTAAGAAAGAGCTTTCTTGACATTTAAGCTTGGGACTGACATATGGAATGATAATGATATTGGAGTATCCCATCGCTTATTTCCATTTTGCAGGTATCAATTGAATATGGGTTATGTGAGATGCTAAACAAAGAGGCGATTCGCGGTGATTTGGCTCCGAAAGATGGACAATGGGGCTTCAACATTGCAGATCTTGAGGCTATGTTCCCGGCTGGGACGGTGGATCAAACGGCGGAACGGGTGTACAAAGAGGTAAGTGAGAATTTCTCGGTGTACATTTGTGCGTATATGGACCTAAAATGATTAGTATTTTGTCTGATGGAGCCTCTTCCTGTGATGAACTCCAGCTGCCTCAGTGGGGTGAGAGCATGATGGGCGCCCGGGCTAGATATGCTCAGGTCATTGAGGCTCTTGCTGACAAATACCCTACAGAAAACTTGCTCCTTGTCAGTCATGGTATGCTTCAAATTTGGTTTAACACTTTCTCTACTTTCATTTCTGTTTTATATTCTTGAATTTTTTTTCCGGGAGTTCGTTAAAAAAATTTACTTTGGTTAGTTGAGTTCTAGTGATGAGTTCCTCTTTCAAAAGGAAAGACATAGAACCTTTCAAATTTAAGAGAAAACATCTTTGTGCAGGTGAAGGAGTTGGTTCTTCAATTTCTGCATTCCTGGAGGGCGCCACAGTATACGAAGTAGAATACTGCGCATATTCAGAACTAAGAAGGCCCATCAAAAACCAGTCATCAGCTGCAGGAAAGTTTGAGGTAATGGTAAATCGTGGCCGAACTGGTGTCAGTTACTCACTCCCAACCACTGGAACATAAGAGTAGCAAGACAGCAGTGTAATAATCGCATTCCTTTTAGCACGTTTGACTGCATTTTTACCCCCAAACTCCTCTTGTCGGAGATCATTCGGGGGTTACTGGATTTACAAATTAATCAGACAATAGTTTTCTTCATTTGTTTTCGCAACTTCGGATTCCCATGTATTTGCTACCAGACCATGAAGGGTCCGGTTAGAAGGAAATGAAACGACAGCTTCCTTTGTATCAGAACCAGAATAATCATATTCTGCTTTAAACATTGATAAATGAAATCGAATCAAATTTTCATTAGTGATTTCGTTGCTACCAGAACTATTGATCTGATTCTTTTGCAGTTAATTTTAGTCCAACTCGTCATTTTTATTTTTTTTTTCAACGAGAAACAAAGAAGAAGAAAACCGGATGAGTGTCGATTAGTGAATTAAGAATTAAGCAGGCAAACTTGACTAGCTACTATAAGTAGGTCAGTGTCTAGTACAAAGAATGGCAGTAACAAGCATTACCATGCCAGCAGGTCCTTGTCAATACGTTGCTAAAGAAACTAACGCAAATAATATAGAAGAGGTACAAGGTTATTGTCAATCAATGCTGCCCTGATCCTGATGTGTTCGGAAGCGGGTCAATTTGATCAAACATGTCTGTCGGGAAGTCATCGAACACACAATCTGGAGTCATGGTATGGTCGATTCTCTCCCCCTCACAACTTAGACAGCTTCCTACTGGTTCAAACAATGGAGGCTCCATGACAAGTGGTTCTCCTCCGTTTCCAAGCCCCAAAGCATCCAGAGGTCCTAACATGTCGAAATAGGGGTCGAACCTTGCCAAGAATTCTTGCGTTTCGGATGAGAATATTTGGTCTGTTTGGGGCTGTGGGTTCTGCAGGAAAGGGATTGCAGTGTGGGAATCAGTCCATGGATCCTTATCAGTTATGGGGAGCTCATGTTGAACAGGATTTGTTTCGAAGCAAAGAGACTTGGGCTTAACAATATCCGGCAGCGGCACCATTTTGATGATCTCGGAGTTCCGAAAGCAAGGTGGCGGTGACAAGCATGGTTGCGCTTGTAACGATGGTTCTCCCTCCGATGAGCAATTGAATTTTGTAGCCTGAAGAAGAAGAAGAAAAAAACCTGTCATCTAATAACACAGTTAACTGTTTCTAAAAGAAAGTTCATTCGCTTTCCCAACTGATTACAAACCAAAATTACTAAAGAAGCATAAATGTTGTGTGGTTTGAGAAGCCTCCAGATACAATCGTTGATCTCCTGTTAGAGGATAGTACCATTTTGTAACATCATTTAGGTGTGTGGTAGTACCTTTTTGCCTTCGACCAAGTTAAAATTTCCTATAAAATGTTAACAAGGCCCACTATAACCAATGGCAAAGTCAACATGGGTCATTGGTTGCTCATGACCCTAATTGTATATTTGTGCATGAAACCTATATGTAACTGCAACAACTGAAAGAATGAGTCAAAAACACTAAATTATAATTTGCTGCTGCTTTTGTACAACCCCTGTATTGTTGTTTATAGATTTTCCTTTTTCTCTCCTTTGTCTTTCTTTTTCGATTTCTTGTGTTCGATAAAAAACTTCACTCGATAGGCCTCATCAAAGTCGACATAATGTGGCATAACTCGTCAGTTACTCATTAAAAACTCCACAAAATGAATCAATGAAGTTTTATTTTTTTGCTAAAATTATATGACTTCATTGTTATAAAATTCTGACTGCGTCACTGACTATAATGCACCCTACTATTTTTGTACATTAACTTTTGAAAGAAGAAAAGGACAATTACCTCCATAGTGGTGGGAAGCTCATGAAAAACAGAGACTTCCCTTTTGGTTTTATGTGATTTGGAGGAGGGTGTGGCTGGTGCTGCTGCTGATGTCTGCAGAATCCTAGCCAGCCTCTTCTGCCTGCTGCTCCAAAAATTCTTGACATCATTGTCTGTCCTCCCCGGCAAATAGGTCGCTATTCTTGCCCATTTGTTCCCAAATTGTGCTTGCAACTCTATCACCACCCTCTCCTCCTCCACCGAAAATTTGCACCCACTGTAGAAAAACACATACTGAGACTCTAATCATAATTAGAACAATAACAAGCAACCCATTTCTCAAATCTCAGTTAGCAACAAAACCCACGAACCCGTTTCATAAATCTTAATTAGCAACCAAACCCCGACAACCCTTTTTTTTTTTTTTTTAATTACATGCGATATTACTACTCTAAACTAAATTATGAGAAGAGGAGAATATTCAAAAGTTAGATGAAGGAGAAGACCCTAACAACCAAGTAATCCACCACTTGCAAATAACCTATTTCTTAAATTTTAATTACCAGGGGAACCCAACAACCCGTTTCTGAAATGCTGAACAAATTATCATCCACCAACTTCATGAAACAAAAGTGCCAACAAAAACAAACAAGTGCAAACAAAAGAGACAATGAAATGGCGGACAGTAAATTGGGTTACTTCTTCAAGTTGGGTCGGAGCTTATTGACCCAACGGAGCCGGCATGACTTTCCGGTACGCTGCAAGAGACCCTTGGATCGAATGGAGCTCCAGTCTCTTGGGCCACACTTCTTCACATGTTTTAACAGCACTTCGTCTTCCTCTGCTTTCCATGGCCCTTTCCTTATACCCTCTTCTTTTTTACCTTCCATTCTTAATTAATTAGTTTACCCTTTCTTACGCACAAAGAGAAGAAGTAAATATCTTTTGTTGGGGGGAACTTTTTCTGGGTTTTGTTCTTCACTGAGTTCTTCAACTCTCTGTAAAATTTATTTTATCGTTTTGTGTAGTGGCGGTTAAGGCGGTTACTTCCGCTGTCCTCCCCACTAATGTGCCCACATTCCCACCTTTTTCTCTGTTTCAAAATCTGTCCATGTGTCCATTAAAAAATGGTCTAGGTGGAATACAAAAATGGCCCTGACCACGTGGCAAATTTTAATTTCCAGCCCTTATTGCTCTCTCCGCATCCTCTTGGTAAGGATTGAAAGTATTTATTTATCTTAGCCGTTCATCGTACATTATGTGGCCAACTTTCGTTAGATACTGTTTGTATTCGATTTTAAATAAAAAATTTAAAATGATTTTTGACCGCAGAATGACTGATGAGCGGATGTGATGAATTGATTATTAGGATCCGAATAAGATTCTCGCAAGGAGGATTCAGATAGGATCTTGTTCCGGGAAAAAAAACCTGTAGGTTTTGTTTCGAAGATTTTACATGTATTTCTTTATATTTTTTTTCCCAGAAAATTTAACTTATGTTTGATAGTTTACTCAAAAAATAAAGCGTTTCATGAAAAGCTCATATTTTCTGCACAATATTTGAAATTGGTATCAAAGGAATCGAATTCATAAAGTGGTGCATTGGCCTGGTTGATAAAGTATTTCTCTTAAACCCTTACGTCCCGAGTTTAGATTTTCACCGTCTCTTAATTTAGATATAATATATAATATTGCTGATAATAAAGAGAAATGAATCAAAGTCCATTAGCTACCAATCAAGTTATTGAGCTATTTGGTTTGGACAAGGAAAACTAAATCCTGGGATAAAAATTTCTCACAATGTCTTCAGTCTTTTTCCGTCAATGATTCGCTTATAATATTTTCAACAATCCGCGAGAGTCGAGAAAAATGTTTAGCTTTAAGTTCAACAAAAAATCTGCCGAAAAATTATTGGAAGTAAGAAAAGTGACTCCGGCAAGTAGAGATGCATAAAGAGCCATTCCTTAGTCACCATATTTTCCTTGACATGCTGTAAATGCAATGTTCTGCTAAAAATTGCTCACAGAAATGATTTGCATACATATAAAAATAAATTGATCAAACAATGCTCAACAAAAGAAACATTTGTTGCTACATCTCATATCTCTCAAATATACTTCTCTCCATGAAGCTTCTCATGAATGTATTTGGTTATGAATTTTCTCCATTCATAATCGGAGGCAATATGTTCTACCGTTAGAGACAGACACTCCAGCTATCATTTATGGAGATAATGCAACTTGTATTGCTCAAATGAAGGAATGTTTCATCAACGACTGTAAGACTAAATACAAATCTCCTAAAAATTGAGCTTAAGAAGGCTAATTAAAGTGATTGAAGTTAGACAAATCCCATTCTAATGGTAATATGGCGAACCCATTTAGAAAATCTCTATCAAAGTGTACATTCCAAAAGCTGATATATTATATCAACATCCAACAATTGAACATGTTGCTTCACTAAACGTTATCATAATCAAGGGAGATATTGATATGGATGTTTCATCAACGACTGTAAGACTAAATACAAATCTCCCAAAAAATTCAATACATATGAGCTTAAGAAGGCTAATTAAAGTGATTGAAGTTAGACAAATCCCATTCTAATGGTAATATGACGAACCCATTTAGAAAATCTCTATCAAAGTGTACATTCCAAAAGCTGACACTAGTACAAAAAATACTTTGGGTGACGTAGGTCCTTCGTCGCGCAAAGTCCAAAAAACGTCGCGCAAAAATTTGCGTGACGAACCTTCGTCGCGCGCCAACCTGTGAAAGAAGGTTTTGCGCGACGAAGAAGTACCATGCGTCACGCAAAGTGGGTTGGCGTGACCAAGGTCTGCGTCACTCAAAGTGGGTTGGCGTGACGTAGTATGCGTCATGCAAAGTGGGTTGGCGTGACGTAGGATGCGTCACGCAAAGTGGGTTGGCGTGACGTAGGTGTGCGTCACGCAAAGTGGGTTGGCGTGACCTAGGTATGCGTCACGCAAAGTGGTTTTGCGTGACCTAGGTGTGCGTCACGCAAAGTGGGTTGGCGTGACCTAGGTGTGCGTCACTCAAAGACACTTTGCGTGACCCATACCTACGTCACGCAAACCTTCTTTGCATGACCTATGGAACTTTTTCGTCGCGCAAACTTTTTATGTTTTTATTTTTTTTTAATTTTTTTGACAAAAATATTTTTGATTTATTAATATTTTTGATTTAATTTTTAATAAATATTGTAATTCAATTCTAAACAATAAACAATAAACCAAGAAAAAATTTAATTATAAACCATATGAAAATGTGCATACAAGATGTCTAAACAAAAAAAGAAAAAACTACAACAAGTAGTCTTCTAGGTTTGAAAACTACTGGGTATCGGGTAGGTGAGGTGGCTGGGAGGTCGAAGGTGGAGTAAGATCAGGTGCTGGCAGCTGGATTTGGAGACCGGACACCGCTAAGGCCTGTACAATCATACTCATCTGGGCTCTCATCTGCTCGTTCTCAGCTCTCATCTGCTCGTTCTCAGCCTTTATATGCTCGCTCTGGGCCCTCATCTGCTCGCTCTGGGCCTTTGTCTGCTCGTCCTGGGCTGCAAGCTGACCTTTTAGGGTTGTCACTTCCTCCTTCAGGGCGTTGACCTCTCCTGTGGTCAATTTGGAAGAAGAGGCACCCGTCTCACGAACCCGCGCCTTCCCCATACCCCGAACAACCTTGCCATGACGACGACCGTACTTTTGATCCAGGACCTCAGTCATGATCTGAAAACCTACATCCTCGGGTAAAGTGACGTCCTCCATTGGGGTTTCGGGGAGAAGTTGCGATGTTACTTCTTGGAGAACAGCATCGCCCTTTTCCACCATAGTAGCCTGTAATAATAAAGAAAAAACATATAATGGTTAATAACAATATATATATATATATATATATATATAATATTTGAACGATTCATAAATATAAGAATAATAACAATTACATCTACATACATGAAGCTGCTCAGCGATCTCATTGCCAGGTCGAACGTAAACGTCCTTGAACACGTCGATCTCAGGGAACTTAGAACCCTCCTAAAAAAAAAAAAACATTGGGAAAATTTTATTAATCAATAATAAAAAATAAATTGTATAAAAATTTCAAAATTAATATACTTTTACCTGACGTCGTGTCTCAAGCCTATACGAAAAGGGCTTCGAACCGGAATGGTGGAGAAGTGTCTTAGAGTCCCGAGCTATCTTGCCAGCAACACATTTCTTCTGTTAAACACACAATATACATGTTAGTGCGACTATTTGAAAGAAATTATTTTAAAAAGCTTAAAAAAATAACTAAAACTTTAATGAATTATTATTAAAATATTAAGTACATACCACAAATTTTGGGTCCGTAAAATGGTTGCAGAGCCATTCCCAATCCTCTGGCCGGTCCTCCAACTCGGATGGGCAACCCTCTAGGCGAGCAACCTTTGGATCATTAAATTTCTTAAAATGCGCATGAAGATCGCTCTTCCAATTTTTGTACCGATTTGCAAAGGTCTCGTCTAAGTAGGTGATGACCTCAGGGGATATATCCTTAAAATCAAAATTGACCTACAAATAAAACAACAAAATAATAGTAAGAAATTTAATAATATTAAGATAATATACTTTGGTTTATAATATTTGTAAACATAATTAAAAAAATGATAAAAGGCCAAAAATTAATATACTAACCGACAACTTGTCTCGCGCCAGTATCTTCGTCTCCTGAGGAATTTCTGCCCAAGTCTCCCACTGCATAGGACAACAATTCCGAATAACACAACCACAGCTAGTAGCGACGATGCTATGTTGTTGTGAGGTAGCCGCTCCACGATGTCGCGAGTCATATGCAATCTTGATCAAGGAGGCAGACAGACGTACATTTTGTGCCGTCTTCAGCATTCGATTAGGCCTCCTGGTTTTTTTTTTAGCTATCCAAAAAAACTTAAATGGTGAAAATTCTAAGCTTAAATTTCTATAGAAAATTTTGCAAAACCTCCCCTAATAGTATATCATTTCCCAAAACCTTAAAAAAGTAAAATAACAATAATTCACAACCCGCAACAAATTTTCACAATCATAAAAATAATAGTTTTAAAATGAAAAAAAAAATACAACGTAGTGAGAATTAGGAAAAAAAAAACTACTTGGCTGGGAGCCCCCATCCTCAACTCTGGATGATGAGGAAGTGTGAACAGAAGGCTCCAAATCACGACGGTGCCGGTGAAGCCGCCGTGCACTGAGCGACTGAACCGACACTGATGACGTCGATGATACAGGCACCTGGGATGCCGTAGCAGTAGCCTCAGTAAGGGGTGTAGGCTCCCCCATCAATGGAACACTCACGGATGGAGCAGTAAATGCTGATAATGCGGGTGGCGCATTGGTCACACTCCTACGACAAGTGATCAACTGCGACATCTATACACTTTTTGAAGAAAGCATTGAACTCAACATCATTTGAAAGACAAACTTATCAGTAAGAAATTTAACAAAAGAATAGAAAACAAAAGGCGAAAGCATAAATCTTTTCTCGCTAAAAAGAAGGTAAAAGGCTTAAAAGCATGCCTGGTTCGTCTCCAAATATAAAAATAAAAATAAAAAATTACACTCTAGTATATAGCAACAAAATCATATTTTTATTTATGCTTTGCCTTCAATAAGGTCAGGTTTAAACACAATAGAACCAAATGTCAAAGATGTAGCAAAGTTTATACTGACCTCCCCAAAAATTAGGATATCTTACTGCAGTAAACTTTGTAATAACTCGCATGTTTCAGCTTTGCTATTGTAATTTTGACTCAATTACTGTCATTGTTAACTTAATCTCGATTTTGCAATACTATAAAGTGAAAGCAACAATTTTATCAGATCTATAAATAATAATAAAAGTTTAAAACTGTCAAAAGTACCAAAAATTATGAAACTTCAATCTTTTGTTTCCCCTCAAGGTGAATCGGCTACTCATATAATGAAATCAATCTTTTCTCCCATGGTTTGAACTTTGGATTATACACTCCATGTGATTCGTAAGGCCCCTGATGGATCAAATACTAGGAATCACAAGGGCAAATAAATTATTATTGTCATGACATATGGCCATTCAATATTACTATCCTAAGCTCAGGGCAAGGCAATAGGTAAGGTCATTTATACAGTGACCATAATTTCAATGATTCAACTCAGGTTCAATTGAATGCTAGTTGCATCCAGTACAAGAGAGCCACTGATTCAAACAGTGCCCATAATTTCAAAATATTCAACTCAGATTCTATCGAGTGTTCTAGTAGTTGGTTTCTTGATTTTGGTTGTTCTTTTCACATATCCAAGTGTGGTTCTCTTCTGACAAGAGTGAAGAATGTGTTGCATTCACTGTGGATGGCCAACCCTATAAAATAGCCAGTAGATGAACAATTAAACGTGTCTAGTACTAATACTTAAAAAGACCAAGAAAAGAAAAATAAACAAGCATTTAGCAATAAAACTTGAAGCACTATCCTCAATGCAATGTTACATGTAACCAAACAATAACCCTAGCACATAATTTTTCCTTCTTTTTATATATATACAGACACACATGTACATAAATACATATAGTCCTCATCTTAAGAGGGATCTATTTCGATAAGAACCAAAAGGGGTTGCATTGGCAGGGCCACCCAGCAATGTGGCCCAAGGGTCCAAATTGACTAATTTTTAGATTTCTTTATAACTTTCCCATTTAAATTTTGATTCTGTTGATTTTCCACATAGATACTTCCTAAATGGAAATCCAAATTAAACACTTTGCATCATTGGACAACAGTGTAAAGTGGGAACCAAAATTACAATCCCTTTTACATCAGGTTTTTATATTCGTAAGCAGTCGAATACACACCAACTCGTTGTTGATCACAATCCTGATAGCTTAGTTATACCTAAATGTGATGATCAAACATTCTGATAGGAGCATATTTATACGACTTAGTTAGCTTGTTTTCTTGCATTTAATTAGCTAAACTATGTTAATTATAGTGTTTAAAGTTATTTTCGTGCAATTTCAGGTTTTAGTGTCAAAGTATGCAAAAAGAAGCAATTTGGAGCATTCTAGAGCATTTTTGGGCCAAGATTGGATAGTGCAAGCATGGAGGCATGAGGATGGACGAATTTGAAAGGCTTGAATTCAGTTAGGGAGTTGCAAGGGGGCCTAAAAACCTGATTTCTAGAAGGCTACATTAGAGCCACATGCACTTCCATCCTTTAAGCCATTCCACATGCAATTCCAACCTAATCCACATGCATTCATCATCATAACCTAGCTGTCATTCCACCTTTATGCATTCATCATCATAACCTAGCTGTCATTCCACCTTTGTGCCATGCTTCCCCCTTTGTTCCAGCCACTCCACATGCATTTCCAACCCACATGCCCCTTTAATCATTCAAACATGCACCCTTTATTCTTTCATCATTCCAGCCACTCCACATTCATCACCAACACAATCATCAACAAAAGAACTTTTCCTAGCTGTTTTGCACATGCATTCCCTTAATTATTTCAACCACATACACCCATAATCATTCACACCTTGCAGCCACATGCACATTCACCCCTTTCTCTCCCTATAAAACCATGCAATGCATTCATACAAACCACCTCTCATACACATTCATTCACGCCAGAAATTCATTCCCTCTCTCTAACACAGCCATACTTCACCATTCTTCATATTTTCTGCCCAAAAACACTCCTTGCCTTCCCCTACATCCATCCCTACCCTAAACACATCATTCTACATCATCCATAACCCCCAAAACTCACCAAAACCCCTTGTGCCGCAGCAACTAGAGGAGAAGAGGCTTAAACGTTCATACAATTCAAGATTGAGTTGTTGGAATTTTTAGGTGTACTTCGATTCTTGTTTTCAATGTTTACTTTGTTATTACTCTCTAAGTTTGTTGTAATCATGAGTGGCTAAACCCCTAATTAGTTAGGGGAAAGTTTAAAGCCATGAACATGTTTGAAATATGAATTGATTTCTTCCAATTGTGATTTGTTAAGTTGTGATTGCAATTCAATTATCTGTTTATTAAAAACTTGTTTTTGTATGTTGATTAGGGATGCATACTTAGTCTTCATGCATAAACTCGATGCTAGTTTATAAACGAGTTTCACCTAATCGTCACAAGTTTATAAACATGAGTAGTGAAGGTTGCTAGTCACAACCGCGTTAATTGAATTCTTGGCAAGAGTATCATGCATTCATAGTTACAATTGCCTCGTCAACACTTATAATTTTCATAGAGCATAATGATCTCTCATTGTATCTCTTCTATGCATTCATGTTGAGAACCATTGGAGAATGATTTGAATTGTCGCATGCATCATCTAATTCAATAACATAAGGAAAATTTGAGAGTTAATTAGTGCATCACGGTTAACTTGGGGTGTTGAGCATCATAGTTAATGAAAAGCAATTGGAGAATCGATTCATATACAAATGTGTCTTGTGTGGAGAATGGACCTCTAACTAATCCATCCATTATCTTGTTTTCAAGGAATTTGTTTTACAATTCTGCCTAGTTTATTAACTTGTTTTGTTATTTCAATTTTCGTCAAATCAAAACCCCCCCCTTTACTTTCTTGTTCTTTAGTGCTTAGAATCTGTTTAGTTTATGTTTTAAAATGTTTTGAATCAAGCCATAATCTTAAATTTGTCCAAAATTGGGTTTAAGGTCAGAAACTGCCTAGTTAGTGTTTTTAGGCAGTTTTGAGTCTTTTGAACTTGTTTTGAGTCCTTTGAGTCTTTGTATTGTCCAAATTAGTTAGAAAGTGTCTTAGTTTATGTTTATAAGTGTTTTGATTCAATTTGTTGCACAAATTCGTCCAAATTCACCAAGGTGCTCAAAACTGCCCAGAAAGTGTTTTTAAGGCAGTTTTGAGTGTTTTGGGTGATGTTTGAGTCTTTTGGTTTGTTTTAGTGTTTTAAGCATTTAGTCTCGCATTCTTTGAGTCTAGTTTAGTGTTTTAAACTTTATTTTACGTTTTTGAGTCAGTTTCCAAGTGATTTGCAATCCCTCCTAATCCCCGGTTAAGAACGATCCCTACTTACATACTTACTACAATTGATAAAAAGAGGGTTTAATTTGTGTGCGTATAATTCTCACATCACATTCTTAGACTGGATTAGATCATTTTTAGAGCTTGTTCAATATCTTCATAACCCAGTTAAGCCACAAACACCAAGAAGCCCACAAACAGAAATATTCCACAAAACTGTGTCCTTCTCGGGCAATCCATCAAACACCTTCTGTGCTAACTCAACCTGGGAAAGCTTGAAGTAAAAGTCAACAACAATCGACCCAACATACAAATTCAATCCTAACCCATCAACAATCGAGTGCGCGTGCAGCAAAATCACAAACCCTAATCGTAGTGAAACCCTACAATGAACTGCAATTTCACCCTAATCCCTAAATAACAAAAACCCATCGCAAATCACAAACCCTTACCTTGATTTTGGGACTTGATTCCCGTCGGCTTCGAGATTCGTGTGGCTACTCGTCGTTTAGAACGAGAAGGAAGAGAGAAGTCTATGGGAAAGAGAGAGGGAAGACAAGTCTGGGTTAAAGATTTGAGGATCAAGGTTGCGAAGAGGAGAGATGAGCAAGAGGGAAGAGATAGAGGAGACGCAGGACTTTACTCCTGCAATTTGATTTGCAATTTGAGCGAGAGGAAAGTCTGCAATTTAAGCAAAACCGAGAGGAAAGTCTGCAATTTAAGCAAAACCGAAAGTCTGCAATTTAAGCAAAACCGAGAGGAAGATGATAAGAGGAAGAGGAAGAGGATAAGAGGTCTGAAAACAGGTCTACGGAAAGAAAAACCGAGAAGAAAAGATGATAGGATATATGGCTGCAAAACTTGGAAAAATTGAAAAAAAATGCCTATTTTTCGCTATGGACCGCCAAAATTATCAATTGGCGTGACGTAGGTATACAATTTGACGTCACGCAAAGTGGTTTTGCGCGACGATTAAAGCGTCGCGCAAGGTTTTTTTTTTTTTTTTAAAGTATTAAAAAAATTACCAAAAATGTGACTTTACTCCTTTCAAGTTCAATTTTTATTTCACATAAACATTGAACTTAATATATTATTCTAAAAAAAACCCATAATATTTTTTTTACATATATATCATTCAATTTCTTAAGTGTTATAAGTACAAATTAAATAAATTAAAATCTACTTAGTAAATACATATACCATTGCACTTGATGGGAAACACATTGTACGAAACTAGTTTCAACGATCCAACCGTCAAACTTGTTTTTATATGCTTCGAGATCGCATACGCCAAAAATAGGAAAAACAAACATTTAGAGATCAAGTAACGCGACAAAACTTTTCGACGGTTATAAATGAAAAATAACGATTTAACGGTAGTTTTAACTCCGATTTTGATGATTTTTTACAGCTACACTCCTTGACCCTATATGAATCCAATGAACTAATTCGATCGTCAATTTAAAGTATTTACACAAGTGGATACCACAAAATGGTAGATTTACTAACACTTAACTCTAAGTGTTAGTAAATCTACCATTTTGATGGGAAACACATTGTACGAAACTAGTTTCAACGATCCAACCGTCAAACTTGTTTGTATATGCTTCGAGATCGCATACGCCAAAAATAGGGAAAAAAAAACATTTAGAGATCAAGTAACGTGACAAAACTTTTCAACGGTTATAAATGAAAAATAACGATTTAACGGTAGTTTTAACTCCGATTTTGATGATTTTTTTACAGCTACACTCCTTGACCCTATATGAATCCAATGAACTAATTCGATCGTCAATTTAAAGTATTTACATAAGTGGATACCACAAAATCTTATGTTATACTTAATGAAAGCGCCTATTTTTCGCTATGGAAAAAAAGTGCCTACAAAAAAGCCAAAATTATCAATTCGCGTGACGTAGGTATACAATTCGATGTCACGCAAAGTGGTTTTGCGCGACGATTAAAGCGTCACGCAAGGTTTTTTTATTTTTTTTTAAAGTATTAAAAAAATTACCAAAAATGTGACTTTACAATTTTTTGGTTTGAGAAAATTTTTGGGTAATCGTTATTTTAGAACCTTCATCTCGAAGCTGAATCGGTCAGAGGTGGATTTGATTATTGAAAGTTTGAGTCTTGAGGGCCCGGATTTGGCTTTCGGGTTCTTCAATTTTTTGAGGAATGAGTGTGACTTTCGGCATTCGGGGATTGCGGAGTTTATCGTTGCTCATGTATTGGCGACGAATAGGCAGTTTCAGGAGTTGCGTTCGGTTGTAAAGCAAATGGTGGATGAAGAAGGTATGGTTTCTAAGTGCTTCTTCTATCATATAGATTGCAGCTTGGTCTGAGATTATGTAAGGCAGATAAATTTTTGGGCCGAAATGAGTAATGAGGTTTTATTGAAGTTATTGAATAGCTCAATTTTTTCTAATTTTTTTATTTTGTTACTTACTTTCTGTGAGCTAGAAAAAAAAATGATGGAAGTTGTTTATGCTTGGATTGGTGTTTTAGGCCACACTACCCTATGCATTTAGTCGGTTTCTTCGGTGAGCAATATTTTTCGCATTTTGGGATTTATATATTTGCTGTGATTTGTGATAGGCCCTGGTTCTGCACCTTCACTTTGTGAGCTGCTCTTGCGTAGATTCAGGGACTGGGACTCAATTAGTATGGTGTGGGATATGTTGGCGTTTGCTTATTCAAGATCTGAGATGGTTCATGATGCCCTGTCTGTTCTTGCTAAGATGAGAGATTTGAATTTGAAGGTTTCGACATCTACCTATAACTGCCTGTTGCATAATTTGAGGCATACAGATATCATGTGGAATTTTTAGAATGAAATAAAAGATACTGGAACTCCGGAGAGTGACTACACTACTTCCATACTTATAGATGGACCGTGCCATCAATCCGGTCTGCAAGATGCAGTTTCTTTCCTCGTGGATGCTGAAAGAACGGAGACTGGGCCTTCTGTTGTTTCTTTCAATATCATCATGTCTTGGTCCTGTAAATTGGGTTTTGTGGATGTTGCAAAGTCCTTTTTTTGTATGATGTTCAAGTATGGACTTGTTCCTGATTCGTACAGTTATAATATTCTGATTCATGGGCTATGTGTAGCAGGTTCATTGGAACAAGCATTGGAGTTCACCAAAGACATGGACAGGCATGGGGTACAGCCTGACACGGTAACTTACAACATTCTCTGTAAGGGGTTTCATCTACTTGGTTTGATGAATGGAACTCGCAAGATCATTCAGCAAATGTTGGTTAAAGGGTTGAATCCGGATCATGTTACATATACAATTATGATATGTGGCCACTGCCATGTTGGCAACATTGACAAAGCCCTTAAGTTGCGGAAAGAGATGATTTCAAGAGATTTTCAGTTGAGTGTCATTGTTTACAGTGTACTACTCAGCGGTATGTGTAAAAGTGGACGGGTAGAAGAAACATTGGGATTGTTATATGAGATGGAAGCTGTTGGCTTGGAGCCAGATCTTATATCATATTCAATCCTCATTCAGGGTAGCAACGAGATGTACAAAAGGCTAGCGAAATATATAGAGGAATGTACAGGAAGAGAATCATTCCCAATTACTCTGCAAACCGTGGTATTCTGCTAGGTCTGCGTGATAAAGGGGATATTTATGAGGCAAGGAAGTATTTTGATCATCTGACGACAAGGGCTGTGACAGAGGATGTTGTGCTGTATAATATTATGATGGATGGGTATGTAAAACTAGGTAGCGTTGCAGAAGCCATAAAATTATATAAACAAATAATTGAGAAGGGAATAAATCCTAGTACTGTCACTTTCAATACTCTTATTCATGGTTTCTGCAAAATTGGGAAGCTAGTTGAGGCTCGAAGGATGTGGATACCATTGAGCTGCATGGATTGCTACCAAGTCCAGTTACTTATAATACTCTTATGAATGCTAACTGTGAACAGGGAAACATCAAGGGCATGCTTGAATTACTTCAAGACATGGAAGCAAAAGCTGTAGAACCAACTCATGTATCTTACACGGTAGTTATTAAAGGACTTTGCAAACAGGGGAAGCTGTGGGATGCTGTTCACTTAGTTGAGAAAATGTATGCTAAGGGCCTAACCCCGGATCAAATCACATATAATGCTATCATCAAATGTTTCTGCAAAGCTCAAGACTTCGAGAAAGCTTTTCAGTTACACAACGAGATGCTGATACATGATCTTGAACCTACTCCTGTTACATATAATCTCTGTGTATATGGTGACCTAGAGGATGCTGACAGGCTAAAAGCTGAGATAATTAAAGCAAAACAAAAAGCTGAAAACTGAAAAGAGAACAACACTATTCCATGGTAGCAATAAAAACTGAGATAATTAAAGCAAAAAGGATTTCGCAACTAACTTCTTCATGTCAATGTCAGGCATGTCACTCCCTGCAGCCTTCTCCACAGTCACCTGCATGGGGCTGAAATTAGAAGAGAGTATATACACCCAGTGCCTAGGAAGTAAACCTATTTGGTGCAGTGAAATTCTCACTGGTATCCAATCTGGCTTTGTGTTCCTCAAATGACAAGCATCCAAACGAAGACGATGTCGACATTGTTCTCACCTCCAAAGCCACCTGAACATGTATCAAAAGAATAAGCGAAAGAGAAACAATTGTATTCCATAGTAGCAATACAAGCCAAGAAAATCAAAGCAAGATAAATGGCTACTAACTTCATCTTGGTCATGGAAGAGATTTGACTCCTTGAAACCTCCTTCACAATAACATGAATTAAGACTCAAACTCGAACAGAGTATATCCACTGAATTCATAGCAAGTAAACATAATTTACTCGGTGAAATGATTACCTCCTCCTTGACTCCGACATTCCACATGTCCAACAAACCAACTGGCCATTTGCACCGATCCAACTTGGGTCTTTTCCCTCTCTTTTTTGATGGACTTCTTAACTAGTTTCAAAGGCATAGATGAAAACGAAACAATCATTTTCCGTTACAGCAATACCAGTCAAGAAAACCTAAACTACAAGGATACATAGATATATATAGATATACATAGATACATATATATATACATATGCATGCATACATACATACATACATATATATATATATATATTATAATCTCACCAGATCCATTGCCAGCATGGCAGAACCCATATTTGTGGTTGCGAAAGGTACACATAAAGGGTTCATCTTCTTATAGGAAACCCGTAAAGCTTCAATTGCATCATTGAAGATCTGTTCAATATCAAAACGCAAAATGGATTTATCAAACATGGCCGAAGCAATGAAAAACACATGAGATCTTGTCCCAAAAGCAGATTTTGTGGATCATTGTGAGACTATCTGGCTTGGAATTTAATTTTTGTGAGCTGCGTTTACAAGATGTTACTACAGGAGAGAGATACTGATACACTGTCTTAAATTAACAAATAAAGAACATAAACAAGTCCACTTCTAAAATCAAAGAAACTAGTTTTCGTGCATCTCCACCAAAAATGACATTTGGAGGATGCAACATAACATTACAAACTGTGATTGTATATAGCCACAGTAGCGAGAATGCTCAATTTGTTAAAATTGTACATATACTTATGGAACATATATACGTATAAACAAGATATAAGCATAAACGTAATGTAAAGATTATGAGACTCACATCAGCTTGCCAGGGGTTCCACCGAGACCCTTGTGATTGTATAAGACCTATCCTCAGGATAAGAAAGTGCTACCTTCACCCCCTTTAAGGCCTTTTTAACCTGTAAGTAACCGAATGCCAATCAGTTTCCAGGACAAATATCTTTAAAAGTAACCATTTGTGAACAAACATAAGTAAATACATAGAACTCTGAATAATTTAGCCTATGTGGACATATACACCTGATCCAAATGAAGTGAATCCAAAATGAACAGGTCAATTCATAATAAAAGCAAATGATTACATGCTAAAACAAAATGCAGCTTCAAAACCGAATAAGCATGAATACTAGCATATTTGCATAAATATAACCTATAACAAGTGTAAATAACTTCTACTTCGTTGTTCAGACTGGTAAAAAATAATTACAAACTATCAACATTGTATTTTATTTATATAGCTTAACTTTTAGATAAGTTACCTATCAAAACTGCATGAAACAAATCGAAGTAAAAATGGAGAATACCTTCAAACGATCACGATCAGATTCTTCCCGTGCTTTTTTTTAGTTTGACTTTGCCTCTCCTCAATCTCCTGGTTTTTCCTTTACAAGTTTATATTAATCCTCATATAAACTACAATAATAACTCTCACTATCCTCACTACTATCATTTTCGGATTTCCATTCATCCTCATCTTCATTTGCCTCTTCCGGTGCATTGTATCGTGGCAGATCACCAAGGTCAATTGAAATTGACTCTATTGGTATTTCGAATTCGGGAACTCCAGCTACTTCAAACGGTTCTTGGACAACATTAGTATCTCGGAGTGTTTCTTCACCAATTTTTATCAAAGATGATAAATGTTGGTCAGCGATGTTGTCGTCGTTGTCATCTTGATTTAGTTCCGGAATATCATATAGCCCTCTTCGATCAATCTTCTGAACAACTTTCCAACCATTGCCAGCTTTAGGGTCGTCTAGAAAGAATATTTGTTTCGCCATAGTTGCCAAAATGTATGGGTCTTCATCGTACCAACGTTTGGTAGTGTTTATTGATAGTAAACCATGGTTTCGCTTAACACTCGTTCGGTTATGTGGTTTTGTATCAAACCAAAGACACTTAAACAGTATCACTTGACACCTGTCTTTGTAAAGCAATTGTACTACACTAGTTAGTTTACCATAAAAATCAATGTCTTCACTGTCGCCCGCACCCGGGACGTGGACACCACTATTTTGAGTAGACGACTTGTCATCACATGTTGCCCCCAAGAACTTGATCCCGTTGACATGATAACCTGAGAACAATTCAAAGCGGTCCTCTTGCCAAGTTATATAATTCTTCATCGTAAGAGGGTGAATTCAATTCCTTCAATTTGTTCATCTAATATAACATATACAAAAAGTTAACTTGTTAGTGTAACCAAATTTGAAGACGGGTATGAACAAGTTGGAAAATATGCTGAATTCAAAACACATACAACTTACATGTTCGTGAAACCACGAAGGAAACAATTCACGGTGCTTCTTGGCATATAAATGTGAATGATGTTCCCGCTTCATCAACCGTTCATGCTCTTCAAGGTATGGCAAAACCTCATCACAATTGTTGAGTATGAACCAATGCGCTACCTCCATGTCTTTTTTGGTAAACGATTCGCCTTTTACAGGCTCGCCGAATGGTCGCGCAATTTGGGCAAAAACATATAGTTTCTCTTTTCTGACACCATTGTCATTATTGCGTTGAGGACGATTGAAAGCTGTCTCAACATCTTGAAGATACATTGCACAAAAAGTAAGTGACTCATATGCGACCCATGCCTCCACAAGTGATCCTTCGGGCTTTGCCCTATTTCGGACACACTTTTTCAACTCACCAAGATATCTACACAAATAAAAGGTATGCTACAAATTATTCAAAGCGTTCGTTGATCATTAATCTGTTATATATATATATATATATATACGCTTAATTAAGTACCTTTCTATTGGATACATTCATCGGCAATTGACTGGTCCAGCAAGCAATGCCTCATCTGGCAAGTGAATCATCACGTGAATCATACTTGTAAAGAAAGCTGGAGGAAATATCTATTCAAACTTGCATAAGACGTTCACAATGTCGTCCTGCAATTGTTTAACATCCGACTTCCGCAAACACTTTGCAGTCAATTGTGAAAAAAATCTAGACAACAACACGATTGGTTTCACCACATCAAGAGGCAATAAGTGTCGAATACCAACCGGTAGAAGGCGTTGGAGTATCACATGACAATCATGACTCTTCATGTTTGAAAATTTACACCTTCTCACGTTCACGCAACGCGAGATATTGGAAGCATACCCATCTGGAAACTTTACAGAAGAAATAAAGTTGAAAAACTCTTTCTTCCCATTCGGATTAACTGTAAAAAAAGGATGGCCTTTCTTCAATGTACCACCAACTTTCTTCATCCACAAGGATGGCCTAATGCCCATTCGTTCCAAATCAAGGCGAGCTTCGACCGTGTCTTTCGTTTTTCCTTCAATGTCTAGAATTGTCCCGACCAAAGTATCAAACACATTTTTCCCAATATGCATAACATTGAGGTTGTGTCTCAATTTTAACTTTGACCAGTATGGGAGCTCAAATAACATACTCTTGTGTGTCCAGTTCAGATGTGTAGTTGGTTTGGGCTTACTGACCCCTTTGCCAAAATGACCAAATTCCAAACGGTTTAATTGATCCAAAATCTCATCTTCAGACCATTCTCTTGGTCTTGGTCGAGTCTCTTTTGTGTCGTGGAAGGTTTTATCGTTCTGACGCCACTCGTTGTCCCAAGGGAGCCATCTATGATGACCAAGATAACAAACTTTTCTCGCATGCCAAGACGATGTTACGTTCTCCTTGCATATTGGACATGCCAAATAACCCTTAGTCATCCACCCAGAAACCATTGCATACGCGGGAAAATCATTTACTGTCCACATCACTGCTGCTCTCATGGTGAACATTTGCCCAATATACTTATCATATGTACGAACACCGTTTTCCCATAAATCTTTTAGCTCATTTACCAACGGCCGCAAATAAACATCAATGGACTTTCCTGGATCTTCAGTAATTAATAGAGTCAACATCATGTATTCTTTTTTCATGCACTTCCAAGGCGGCAGATTATAATGAAACACGACGACCGGCCAAGTGCTGTGGATTTGGTTTAGAACCCCAAACGGATTAAATCCGTCGGTGGCAAGTCCCAATCTGACGTTTCGCGGGTCAGCTGCAAAATCAGGGTACATTCGATCGAATTCTTTCCATGCTTCTCCATCTGCAGGATGCCTCATAACATCGTCATTTACTTGTCCTTCTTTATGCTATCTCATATCGGTAGCGGTGTGCATCGACATGTACAATCGTTGCAACTTAGGCTTCAATGGAAGATAACGCATTACTTTTTGTGGAATCTTGGTCTTTCTATTTTGTGATGTCATTTTAAACCTTGGCTCATTGCATACACGGCATTTATCCAACTGTGTGTTCTCCTTATAGAACAATATACAATTATTTACACATGCATGAATTTTTTCATACCCCAATCCAAGACCCTTCAACACTTTTTGGGCACTTTTATGATCTTCAGGTAAACAATTGTCCTTTGGAAGCATCCTCTTGATAACTCCTAAAAAGTAATCGAAACACTTGTTTGAAAAACGAAACTTGATCTTGCCATGCATCAACTCCACAATTGTTGTGAGCATCGAAAAGTTTTCACACCCCGGATATAATTCTTGCTTGGCATTTTTCAATAGTTTTTCATAGTTTTTGAATGCCTCACTATCCATGGTTGGACGACCGTCATCTCCCCCTTCCTGATTGGTGTTGGTTGTAGCATATGGATAAACATCATTTAGAATATCCATAACTTGTTCATTAGGATCCACATTACATTCAACAGTCTCCACTCGTGTCATGTATGAAGACGAAGCTTGGTCTAATCATTCTCCATGATGATACCAAGTAGTATAGGTCTCCATCATCCCATTTCTTACTAAATGAAATCGAACATTTTCGAATGTTTCCCTCATTGAGTTGTTACACTTCCTACATGGACATCGAATATGAGTTGAACCTCGGTTGTGTCTAGTTGCGAATTCAATGAAATCATTTATTCCATCCAAGTACTCGATAGCACATCTATTATGATTCTGTATCCACTGTTTGTCCATTTTGCCTGCAATCCCAATAAAAGTACAACAACTTCAACTATTGTCTTCTCACCTTATTCCTCCGATAAGGGCCTATCCCATTCAAAAATACACAGTTATGTGCCGTAATTTACGATTCCAATGGATTAAATTTCGACATGGGCAAATTTCGACAGCATCTCTTTACAATTCTTCAAGTGCACGCAGTAGATACATAATATCCACTGTGTACTCGAAGAACATTAGGAAATGTTACCAAAATTTCCACTATCGAAACCTAATCTATGAACCGCAAACCACAACACATAACTATGCATTCCCAAACTGTCCAAAAAATGGGACAATTCAATAATTAATTGGACCGCAAGCATACTTTTGCATCCATGCACAAAATCCAACTAACTCTCAAACGGGAAACTAAGCTTTTCTTGAAAAAAAAAGTGTACGAAGTTAAGTTGTATTAACTTCGTACAACACAAAACAATTTTGTAATTGATGTACAAAAATATGTGCATACAAATAAATTAAATCACAATAATTAGTGAAACTAAATAAAATAGATACAAAATATTAATCCTTGTAAACTATAATGTTGATGGCCTTAGTTTTTATTTGTTTATACTAATTATATCATAGAATATACATATTCTAGTTAGTTACACTCGAGTAATTTTGGTGGTGAGATAAATGTACTGTTAGAATATGAACACAAGTGTAAGCATATTTTGGCTAGATATTGGTTTTAAAAAATCTTATTGAAAGATGTTTTGGTTGTCTTCAAGTTTACAAAGGATTGAGACTAAAAATGAATCCTAAATTACTTACTTGTATTAAAATTGGAAGATGATATTGAGTTTCTACAAGGATTTAATAAGAGAATCATAGCCATTGTTTATCTACATAAGTATGGCATATGCTCACAAAAATCAACCCGCTCATTATTGAACTAAAACCTATTGTCTTAGCATTGAGAATTTAATAGTGATGATAAGATTAGCTTTGAAGATCATGGCTTTTGTAGGTTTTCTATATAATTCTTAGTTGCAACACATTGCATTTACCCTCAATTCAACCGTATAGCACAAATTAAGGAAATTTCAAGGGGAAACCAACATTTCTTACAATTTCTTCTATGTAAATATATAAGTTAACCTCGATAAAGTATTCAAATGAAGCCCAAACAAGTCTTCAACAATATATCTACAATCTCACTCCTTTTAATAGGTAAAATTAATAAAGATTACTTCAAAATTCAATCTCACAAAACTCCACCATTACCAAAAAAGGGCATACCAAGTAAGCAAAGGTACATATACAAAAATCTCATATGCAATATGAAAAAAATACCTTCAAATTCGTTCTTCAATGATAATTGTATACAAAAATCCTGTACAAAACAAGTTTAGTAGTTTTAGTTTGAATTCTCAATTCAAAGTTGCATATACAAAATCAAATTGCTTACCGGATACAAATAGATTAAGGAACGGAGAGAATTGGAGAACGTTTAGAACAGAGATGGGGGAGGGAGGTAGCTGCTGCAACTAGTTTGCAGTTTCTACCACCCAAACTGATTAAGTAAAGGGAAAAAAAGTTGTCGACTTTGCGTGACGCATATGGCGTCGCGCAAAACAGCTTTGCGCGACGCAAGTGCACGTATGTTGCGCAAAGCTGTTTTGCGTGACGCCACATATGTCACGCAAAGATGTTTTGCGCGACGTAAGTGCACGTGCGTCGCACAAAGCTGTTTTGTGCGACTCATGTAGCCCTGCGTCACGCAAAGTCAACAGAAAAAGCGGTAATCCGTACTTGCTTTAGCACCAAAAACTTGCGGGACACAAAAAACGTCGCGCAAATGGCCTTTGTGCGACTGCACTTTGCGTGACGAAGATTGGCGTCGCGCAATACCGTTTTGCGCGACGTTGGTACCCTTACGTCGCACAAAACGGTATTGCGCGACGCCAATCTTCGTCGCGCAAAGGCCATTTGCGCGACATTTTTTGTTTAGCGTCACGCAAACATACTTTGCGCGACGCATTTGGCTGCGTCGTGCAAGTTTTCGTCGCGCAAACATGTTTTTGTACTAGTGTGATATATTATATCAACATCCAACAATTGAACATGTTGCTTCACTAAACGTTATCATAATCAAGGGAGATATTGATACGGGGGAGTCCCCAGAAGTACACAACTTCGAAAAGAAACGCACGTGTACTATTTTATCAATGATGTGTAGGCATCAAAGGGGAGTGCTGTAATAATATGGATGCCCACGTATTGAAAAGAGAAGAAGAAACAAGTGGTGGATGACAAAGCCATCAACAATTCGCCTATAACAAATCACTAACAAATAGCCATTTGGTTTGTACTTCTCACCATTAGCTACAAGAGAGCTAATCTGTAAACACACCACCAATTCTCATCTTCTCTATTTGAGAGCAAGAGTGCTACCTAAGACTAGAGAGGAGAGAAAAACAGTGAGCTGCTTTAGGGGGATTATATACACTAAAATGAGTGTTATCTCTGTACTCCTATTATTTCAGACAATGAACGAAACTATTGGTGTTGCCCTGAGGACGAAGTTACACTTGTTGAACCTCGTAAGTATTGTGTCTTATTTACTTTATATGCCACTAAACATATATCGTCTATTTTACACATTTGCAGAGTATTTAATTTCTTCTGTTTTACTGACTTTCAAAAAAATCAAACACAATAAAAAACCACAGATAAAAGGAAGAAGTGAACTTTCTTCCCGTATTCAAGCAAGGGAACTAGCTGAGCACACAGACACATATATCAATGAAATTATATACATATACATATACATATACATATATATATATATAATTGTTATTGATATTCTAAAAATTTTATTTTGCACTCCTCACATATGTATTTTTTTTTT